AATGAGTAGAAAATTAAATTTACAGCCAATGCTCTCCTGCTCTGAGTTGTAATCGCGCAGTGCAAACGACAGTGTAATAAACTAAGTTATGGTGTGTTCCTCTCCCGCGCGTGTACTTCACCGTAGTCGCCTGCCATGCATTATGACCGCGTTCGTCGCATGCGCCTACTCTCCTAATAATCTGCGAGTAACGGCAAAATAATCGGTATGCACGCGCGTGAAGCAGCTAGCGCTACTGGTCTTTGACTGCGAGCTTTACCGCCGGTGCCAAACACAGTAGCGGTTGCTGAGGAGGATTATGTTGTAATAAGCACGATAACATCTAGCATGCTTACGTCATGCATTCGATAAAATTAGACCTGACTAGCTGCAATTGCACACTTCCTAAATCTTATGCAAAGACTATAAATAACGCTTGAAGTCTGATTGTGTAGGACTGAGCTCAACATGCATGCTTCAATGATACCCTCGGATTGCCAGCTGACGTCACAGCGTGATTCATGATCAGGTAGCTGAAAACTGATGCATATTGCGGATTCTACGGCGACGATGATATTCTCACTAGACTTGATGCAGACAAGTTTTGGACGTCATCAATCCAGTCCTAAGAGTCTGATAACTGCCACAATTTAGTGGCTGCGTGCTCTCTCTCTCTCCTCTCACACAGCAACACACATCTCTTCCTCTCCACACACACACCACACACACACACACACTAACTGTCTGGCCCATGGTCGCAGTCGCTCCCCATCTCTCTTGCCCTGTTCGCCCTTTTGTTTGGAAAAGTCCTAGCTGTGAATTGTATTTATTCCATGCTTTACGACAACTATAAATCTTATTTTTACTGGATTTCCTCTCTGCACGCCTTTGCCTGTTATATTTTCACCACTTTTTTGGTGAGCCTTGGTCGTAGTTTTTACCTGCCTTTCGGTAAATTTTCAAATATGCTGCTCTAAATGACCAGAAAGCAGAGAAAAAATACCGAAAGGCCATGACAAACATCATAAAATCCACTCATCTTAGATAACTCACAATTTAGTGCTGAGCGCGCGCTCTCTCTCTCCCTCCCTCCCTCTCCTCTCTCTCTCTCTCTCTCTCTCTCTCTCTCTCTCTCCCACTCTCTCTCCCATTCTCTCGCTCCCCCTCTCTCTTTCTCTGTCGCCTTTGTTGGAAGAGTCTAGCTGTAATGTATTTATCACGCTTTACGCAACTATATCTTATTCTTACTGATTTCTCTGCACCTTCCCTTGTATATTTTCACCACTTTTTGGTGCCTTTCGGTAGTTTTGTCTGCCTTTCGGTAATTTTCAATATGCTGTCTAAATACCGAAAGGCAGCGGAAGGCAGGAGAAAAAATACCGAAAGGCCACTGACAACATCATAAAAATCACTCATTAGATAACTCACAATTTAGTACAGAGCGCGCGCTTTCTTTACTCCCTCCCTCCCCCCTCTCTCTCTCTCTCTCTCTCTCCCACTCTCTCTCCCATTCTCTCGCTCTCCCTCTCTCTTTCTCTGTCGCCTTTGTTGGAAGAGTCTAGCTGTAATGTATTTATCACGTTTTACGCAACTATATCTTATTCTTACTGATTTCTCTGCACCTTCCCTTGTATATTTTCACCACTTTTTGGTGCCTTTCGGTAGTTTTGTCTGCCTTTCGGTAATTTTCAATATGCTGTCTAAATACCGAAAGGCAGCGGAAGGCAGGAGAAAAAATACCGAAAGGCCACTGACAACATCATAAAAATCACTCATTAGATAACTCACAATTTAGTGCTGAGCGCGCGCTCTCTCTACTCCCCCCTCCCCCCTCCCCCTCTCTCTCTCCCACTCTCTCTCCCCCTCTCTCTTTCTCTGTCGCCTTTGTTGGAAGAGTCTAGCTGTAATGTATTTATCACGCTTTATGCAACTATATCTTATTTTTACTGATTTCTCTGCACCTTGCCTTATATATTTTCACCACTTTTTGGAGCCTTTCGGTTGTTTTTTCTGCCTTTCGGTAATTTCAATATGCTGTCTAAATATCGAAAGGCAGCGGAAGGCAAGAGAAAAAATACCGCAAGGCCACTGACAACATCTTAAAAATCGATAGAGCCGCGCAAAACCAGTAACTATATAGCTGCATGCTGTCACGCGCCTGCATACCGATATTTGCCGCTACTCGCATCATAATGATGGCAGGCTACTTCGTGAAGTACACGCGGGGAGAGGAACACACATAACTAGAATTTATTAACTGTGGTTTGCACTGCGGCGATTAAACTCGGAGCAGCTAGGAGAGCATTGTCTGTAAATAATTTCTACTCATTATCTTGCATTTCGGTGAGCTTTTTTAGCCTTATTGTGGCATTCAGTGTTCTTTATTGTTGCATTTGGAATTGATTTCGGTGTCGCTTAGTGTTTTTCGGTGTATTTTTGGTGTGTTATGAGGCATTTCGGAATTTTTTACCCTGCCTTTTGCGCCTTTTAGTGTTTAGACAGCAAATTACCAAAAGGCACAGAAACGCAGAAAAATCTACCGAAAGTGATTGAAAGACAATGAAAAATTCAAGGAAAGATACGGAGAAATCAGCAAAAATAACATAATATAGTTTCTATACGTAAATCGTGGTAAATACATTAAAAACGCATTATTTTATTGAAAATCCCCCATATTTACTTATAAAACATCCAAGAGATGGCGCTGTGACATGTAAACATTGGCTGCGAATTAATTATTTGTGTACTTCATTTCGGGCCGAGTTCAGTCATTTTTAGGGCATTTTGGTGGAATTTTTTTTGACATTTCAGCTTCGGACTGCTTCTTCTAGTGGAATTTGATGTTCTCATAGCGCCTTCCGGTGCCTTCCGGTGCCTTGCGGTGCCTTACGGTGCCTTTCGGTAATTAGACAGACCGGACTGAGACACAGACGAAGCTAGATAGTACCTAAACACACACACGTTAGATAATATCAAGAGTCTATAATAGAAATCTATAGAAATCAGAATCTTCTATTATGGACTCCCGATAATATACCTAAATACACGCACGTTAGATAATACCAGGAGTGAATCATTAACAGTTATTCGCCGAAGGCGAGGTGAATCTTGTTGAATAATACCCCCCGAGACGAAGTCGAGGGGATTATTCAACAAGATTCACCGAGCCTGAGGCGAATAACGGTTTTAGTATCATTGCCCGAGTGATTATAGGAAAGAAACCGATAATTGAAATCGATACTGTAAAATTAGATGTAAACTAGAGCACTCGGAGAGCGCAGACCTCCGCCAAAGCAGCTCAATTCTCTCACTGTGAAAAATTTAATTAATTAAATAATTAATTGGATCCGGATCACCACCAAAATGTAACCAATTCTATGTTACCCCATTTCTGACTTATCCTGAAAATTTTATTAATTAATTGGATCCGGATCACCACCAAAATCTAATCAATTCTATGTTAGCCCATTTCTGACCTATCCTGGAAATTTTATGACAATCCGTCAATAGCTTTTTCAGTTAGGCTGTACACAAACAAACACACGCCGGTGAAAACATAACCTCCTGCCAACCCCTTGGCAGAGGTAACAAGTGTCGGCAACCATTTTGTGGCAACTCAAATTGTTGCATTTCGGCAAATTTTGCCCCCAACAAACTCAACATATACCGTTAGGAAAACGGTAAACAAACCTTGTTGAACAGACTTTAGCCCTGAACACGTAGGCTCGCAAGAGCGATGAGACGCGATGCACACGACATCCAGCAACGGGGGATAAAAATACTGCTACGGCCTACGTGCCACATTAAACGGATATCACCAAACAGCGAAACGTCAGACAGCAGTAACGCATCAGCAGCATTTCCCCCACAACAGACGTAAGCATACACACACAGAAGAATTTTCCACTGTTGAGAGGTGAAGGCCATGACTAGAATTGCATTCACCCGGCGTCGAAAAATCTTTTGGTTTGCCTTTACCCAACCGACACGCCAAAAGCAAAATTTTTCTATAATACTCTCAACAATATTTTTTCTATGCCTGCCAAATAAATTATAGTCAGTCTCGGCTTGACTTGTGGACAATTAGTTTAACAGCAGCTTTTCGATCAGAGGTATAAATCCACTAGAGGAGTGATAATCAGAAAGAAAAATGATGGCGTTATAAAACCGTTTATACTAGACTTTGATGATTGAACTTTTGATCAATACAACTTTCACACAAAAATATTAAAAATTATATTAGATATTTATGATTATCTGGCCAACAAAATACCAACCTGCTCACGTTTCAAAAACAGGCTCGGGTGTAGGCAAACCAAAATATTTTCCAGGTGGGCCCAAGTTTGCAATGCAGAAGAATCGCAAGACACTAATGCTCATTTTCAAGCATTCTTTTGAAATTGTGATACCAATACATAGATCGTGTTAAGACAAGTAAAATACGTAAAAGCTTTTTGCACACGACTTGTATTCGTTTTGTTGTGTGATGCATAAACATTGGTGACAATAAGTAGTGCCATCGAAATACTACAGACGATCTAATAAGGACAAGCACTAGGCTGGTTATTCACAAGCACTAACTCAGCTGATGTACACCAAGGAAAGTCCGTTCACGACCTTCCTAGCCCGTGATGATAGTAAGCATTACAGCGGTTCTATTTCGCTTGCAAGGTGTGAATCTTGATTGCCGTTATTCACCCACAACCGCAAGCAGCACCACCATGATGAATATACACGGGTGGTTTTTTCTTGGCGGCAAACTCACACCTACACACCCCATCACCTTATTTTACCCAAGCCCAAACTTGTCGGGTTTGGCTACTGCCCCAGCATTTCGACAGACCGCACTGCAGTTATGTGGGAGGCTGCATGGCTGAATGGAAGGAAGATGAGGGACCACAGGTTATACGTGAGACAGAAATGGACAAAGTTTGCATTGTAACGACACCTATGAGAAGCTATGCTACCAACATCTACCGTACGGACAGGACACGTACACGCACACGCAACAATTAACTTACCTCGGATGCGAACAAGAAGTAGTGGTTCCTCACGTGCCGCACGCCACAGCTGATGACGCCCAGCGCCATGCCCGGAAAGATGTACGCGTTGTTGCCCTGCCCGGGGTAGAAGGTCTTGTCTCCATAGGTGACGGGATCAAATGGGCTACCGGACGCAAACACGGCGCGGCCCTGACAAATGTCAAACAAGGTCAGCGGGGGTCAAGTGGGCCATCGAAAGGAAATGTATAGCAGAGCCCTGAGAGATGCCAAACGAGGTCGTGCATGATGATCCAGCCGATTCATAGCTCATCTCCTTGGCACGAATGTTCTTTCAAAGTGTTGGTAGCTCCTTGCAGTTAATTAGTGATGGGAATCGGTTGTAATTTCATCATCGATCATCTGTTGCACCCAACCAATCGATGATCGAAGATAATCGGTTGAATGTTATTGATCACGGCTACCAGATATTGAAATATATCATATATCATATAATACATTATTTTTATAATGCAATATTCTAAAAGCTATGTAACAGTATTATACATGCTTATGTTTGGTGTAGGTTTTATTTTTTTACAATTGATTATTTATTTTTATAATAGAGCGCTTAGTCGGTTGCTGCAACTTTCGATTATAATCGATCATCGGGACATCACTACAGTTTGAATATAATAAAGTCATAAGCCAGTGACTTGGCAAGGGGTTTACAAGGTGGGACCAGCGGCTGCACAGCAACCTTACGCTCGTCCTACGACCAAACTAGAATGCTAAAGTGGAGGTGAAGTGAGTCGTCGTTCGATTACCTCAGTGAAGTGATAGGCCTCCTCCGCGGTGCACTCGGCCTTACTGGTCGGGTTGCTCAGTGCGAAGATTAGTGGACGATCATTGTATGAAGCCATGTCCTTCAGGATTTCCTCGGTGAAAGAACCGGCCATGGCGGCAGCACCTGTCATAGTATATCGAGACAGATCGCAAGGGTCGTACATCATACCGCGTGCAGTGTACCCGATGTGATAGTTACATGTGTTAGCTTGTCTCACCTTCTCTACGCATGGGTAACAGTGATGCACACACAATATATGCATCCGCCACATTTCCTGGGAAGACACGGTGTACACGCATAAACAATAAACATGCATATTTTAATCATTTAACAGAGTTTTCTAGTCGTATGCCATTAAAAACTATTGTTTCACTGTTGGCAACCTCTATTCATCAACCAACTATTGGCAACCAACTATTCACCTGTGCAAAATTCTCTCACACCTCACCAGGGGGCGTGCTGCACACATATTGAATCATTGCTCAGCTAACTTATCAACGCGCCTCCCAATTATTCTGCTTCCTACTCACCGATGAGACAGGTGGGCTTTAGCGCCTTCACCACATCTCCGAAAATGTCGATTGGCTCATGGTCCCGTGCGAATGGAGCTTTCTCTGGGGTGATGCCTCCCTTGGGTCGGTTCTAGAGGGACACAAATGCAATGTGATGTAAGTTTCGCTGGATCGCCAGTTGCCAAACCATGCTTGGAAAGAGGCCGGAAATTGCGTTTTCATACTTTGCGAAGAATCGTAAATAATCGCCAATAACCCGCTTCTGGAAACTGCAACGAAATTCTGAAACAAGGAGGTGCCTTGCCGCTTGTTACTGGACTACTGTGTGCATCGATGCATGAATGAATATCTTTCTCAGGGGTAAAAATTAACTTTTGAACGTTGAACTGCCCTCAAAAAGAGGGAGTCCGCAGCAAAATGATGGCGTCCGCAGCAAAATGATGGCGTCCGCAGTCTGAAGTTCAAAACTAAAGATATTAACAATAACGCATTTGCTTATTTTGATGATTCATACGGTTGCACGTCTGCCAAATTTTCTTTTGACATTTGCTGAAAAAATACGATAATTCCGCGAGGCCGTGCTCTGGAACGAACTTGTTAGTAGCAGAATTTTCAGGGAGTCACACGGACTCCTGCATATGTCAAATCAGGGAATCCGATAACCGAACTCCCTGTAAATCAGGGAGTATTTGACTCCTGACTCGCGTTAATTTCGCACCCTGCTTTATAATGCTGATAATACAGTGTAATACCCTACCTTGACAAGCAGACCCTTAGAGTCAACCATCCAGATTCTCTCGAGAGCTTCCTCGTGCGTCAAACCCTCCTTTTCCATTGCCATGGCTAATAGTGTGGCAATGCCCAAGTTAGCCTGCAATGACAACAACAGGCTTACAGCCTACTCACCGCACTACTACAGATACAAACATAACCACATTAATTACAATGATATCTCATTGTTTGTTTTACAGTATTTACTATGATATTCAGTGATGTAAACAATGTAAACAGTGAGTACAGTATATTCCTTAAAGGTAATAGCCCTATCAAACAACAGTAAGGTCTAAAAATCTATATAATTAATGAATAATCAATTAGCCGATTTAAATAGTGAACAGGACCATTCCATAGATGGATAACCATCTATAATACTATATATAAGTTTATAACCTTAGGAATATTATCCTGAAACATCCCAGTATATTGATTGAATAAATTCAGCTCATAAGCAACACACAAAAAGGAACCATGCTCAAGATCTAGCCAATGTGTTGCATTACGGGAGATGAAATTTTGAGTACAACATACTGACGGAGCGAGTGAGATAGTTATTTCAAACACACCTCATACATATATATTTATGTTGTTCACATACATTCAATAAAAAATTCTCTAAACAAACTACAGTGTAACTCCGATTTTACGCACCTTGATTTAACGCTAATTCGGATATAATGCGATGAGTCATTGGACCTAATTTTTTGCTCTTATATAGCCACGTGTATATATAACCCCGATTTAGTGCGACCCCACTTTTTTCGCTATGACATTTCACGGACCCTAACCATCGCGTTATAACGGGGCTACACTGTATGTGACTAATGGCATGCGCAACGCGTGCATACATACCTCTCCGGCACCCTGCATCAGATACAGGTTGTCCTTCAGCGGCTTATTCACGATTCTCTTAGCTGCCAAGATTCCAGCGACGACTACAGAGGCGGTACCTGCCACAAGCACACATACAAACATGTAAGAATTTCATAAAACATCTTAAACAGTGAGTACAGTATATTCCTTAAAGGTAATAGCCCTATCAAACAACAGTAAGGTCTAAAAATCTATATAATTAATGAATAATCAATTAGCCGATTTAAATAGTGAACAGGACCATTCCATAGATGGATAACCATCTATAATACTATATATAAGTTTATAACCTTAGGAATATTATCCTGAAACATCCCAGTATATTGATTGAATAAATTCAGCTCATAAGCAACACACAAAAAGGAACCATGCTCAAGATCTAGCCAATGTGTTGCATTACGGGAGATGAAATTTTGAGTACAACATACTGACGGAGCGAGTGAGATAGTTATTTCAAACACACCTCATACATATATATTTATGTTGTTCACATACATTCAATAAAAAATTCTCTAAACAAACTACAGTGTAACTCCGATTTTACGCACCTTGATTTAACGCTAATTCGGATATAATGCGATGAGTCATTGGACCTAATTTTTTGCTCTTATATAGCCACGTGTATATATAACCCCGATTTAGTGCGACCCCACTTTTTTCGCTATGACATTTCACGGACCCTAACCATCGCGTTATAACGGGGCTACACTGTATGTGACTAATGGCATGCGCAACGCGTGCATACACACCTCTCCGGCACCCTGCATCAGATACAGGTTGTCCTTCAGCGGCTTATTCACGATTCTCTTAGCTGCCAAGATTCCAGCGACGACTACAGAGGCGGTACCTGCCACAAGCACACATACAAACATGTAAGAATTTCATAAAACATCCTAAAGCTATGCGATCCCGCCTCAACAAAATATTCTAGCTTTGATGAGAACATTACCGAACATCATAAAGCTATGCAAACCCGCCTCAATAAAATATTCTAGCTTTAGTAATAACGTTACCGAACTATGTTGTTTCTATATTATATGTATTACTTGTTATATGGACAAGGCACTTAACAAACGACGTTAAGAGAAAAGCCGTAAACATCTCTGACGTCAGTACTATGCCAGGATACAGTGCACAATTTTCCACCAAATTATGCATGAAAAAAATTGCACTTGTCACCTCAAGGGACGTTTTATGACAACTTCATGAAGGATCACTCTACAGATTACATCACAGCAGAAAATTGTTGAGGAAAGTGTGTTTGCGGTTCACTACTTACTATAGAATCACTAATATTTAATGCTATCCTGCATTCACTAAAATCGGGGCGATATATCAGACTGTATCAGACACGTATCTAATACCACAAAAACCCAAACAGGCATAGTATGCGATCGGGTTCACCTGCACAAACACAATTTCTTCTTTTGGGTCACCTACCTTTTTTAGTAATTGTGCTGTGGGACAGGGAAGAATACATACACAACACTGAATTCATGGGAAGGGCACAAGAGACAAACAAAATTGTATTATTGAAGGTATAGTGATATTTTCGGGGGGACTGTGGTAGCAGTAAGGCGAGCAACTACAGCACTTGTCATTAGCGCGGTGGTAAAATTAATTTTAACCCTGCAAACGACCTTTTATTACCTTGTATGTCATCGTTGAATGTGCAGTACTGGTGCTTATATTTTTCCTTAAAGCGGAAAGCATTGTGGTTTCCAAAATCTTCAAACTGAACCAGTGTGTCCTGTCCAAACCTAGAAGAATAATTATTTCCCATTGTTCATTCTTTCTAAGAACCTATGTTACTTGGAGTGGTACTACCACTCACCTGCTACTTTTCTACTATTACACCCAAGGAATCCCACCCTATGTATATTAGAAATGGAAACATCTTCTTCAATATTTATTCTGATATTATTCATACTAATTTAAACTGTACACTGAGACAAACCAATTAAAGTAGGAATTAAAATGCAGAGCAAACTTCATATCAGGTTGAAATTGCCAAGTTACAGTTAGGAGTGTATGTGCAGTTTGATAACAGAAGCACATTTCTATTCAACCACCTCTTGACAATGGCCTCCATGATCTCCTGAATGAGGTCATCGTATACTGGACCGGTGACTCGCTTGTGTCGCAGGCCGAAGTAATACTTGTCATCCAGCAAAGTCTGCAGAGTATACAAGACATGAATGATTAACAACACAAAAAACGCTTAGTGGCTAACACAGCGACCATGTACAAGATGCTCGTCAGATTACACACTGAAATATTGGTTTAGGATGTTGATAAACCCATGTCAGCACATAGGAAGAGGACCGTGCACGCGCACACACTACACTTACTCTGTTGTTTGTGCCCACGTCCACGCAAATAGGCAGGCAGTACTCTGGCTTTACGCCACCGAGTGCAGTGTAGAGAGCAAGCTTTCCGACAGGTATCCCCATGCCATACGCTCCTAGATCACCAAGACCTAGGATGCGCTCTCCGTCCGTAATCACGATGGCCTGCAATGTTTAGGGTACGTACTAATGGAGATTAAAAACAGAATTTACCAAACAGTGCCATCTACTGGCGCTTTTCCTATACTCCAATTGTTATCGTTCAGCACGAGCTGCACGTGGGTCATCTTTAAGGTAGCCGTGTTTCTACTTAACACCAACGATTATATATAATTATATTTTTTTTTTTTTTATGTGTTAATTAACAACAGCTACTGAAATTTAATGACTTATGACTTGCCACCACAGGAATTCAAACTATGATCAATCATACCTTCACTTCCTGATCTGGCCAGTTGCCAAGAATATCGTATACGTGCCCAGCGTCGTGGATCGTAATGTACAGGCCTCTGAGAAAAAACAGTCAAGATGAAATACAAGTGCCGCAGAGCGACAGCGCTCACCTGACGGCAGGTGTTCTGATGCTAAACTCACTGGCAAACTGGCAACCCTTATTGTCTCTCTCATTCTTACTCTTTCGCTCTCTCGCTCTTGCTCTCTCTTCCCTTCGGGCTCTCTCTCTCCCTCT